AAGAAAAAAAAAACTCCCTGTTCTGACCAAACAGGCCTAAATAACACTTCACAGTTTGCCTGGTTTGGTGTCCTCCCGATTTTTAATCTTCCCAAATATCTGCCTCTCAAACATGCAGAATAGAAAAAAGTAGTTTATAAAAAACACTTCCAATATAAAATTTTATTTAATGGCTGCGGTACAAACAGCCATCAGGATTCAATCTGAGTGGGGAGCAGTTAGAGGGATAATGCCAAGTCCAGGTGACAAAATGCTTCCCTCCCACCCATACGCATCGCATCGGTGCCCAGTGACAACTCGTTGCCTGGACAGAGTCCACCACACGCTTAAATTACCTCCAAATATTTGGATTACGGCTAGTTATGCTTGCGGAGCGTTTACTGCAGCCTGGAGGGGATTGTGGGTACTTCTACCAGGGATGATGTTGACACCCCTCCCTCCTCCCCAACCAGTGCCATTTGAAAGTGTGCACGTTGAGGAGACGATATTACTTGCTTTAATACTCAGACATTTAGCACAGAGCTCCAAGCTACAAAAAAGGGTCACTCCCTGGTCATAGATAAAAGGTCTTTCCTAGTAGCTGCTTGAACTCCAGCGTGGGCTGGGCCTTCTCATATTTCTGCAGTCATCATTCAACAACAACAAAAAAAAAAAAAAAAAAAAAAAAAAACAAAATTCTAGAATTGATGAGGATGGTGCCACTGCTGATCGAAGTCAGCAGTGTAAGTCACAGCAAAGGGAGGCCTTAAGCACATAAGCCAGCCTACTCTTCAGACGGTTTCTGTTATTTTTTTTGTAATAGCAGAAAGTTGCACCTTTGTCCTGGACCAAGCCAGCCTGCATATTTACCTTAAGTGGGGGAGGAATGGCAGTTGAAGCAGGAACAGCAAAGCTTGCAGAGCTCCCTGCCAGAACGCTTACACCTTTCTGTGAAACTTTAAACAGCTTGTATGCAACACACTGGCAGGCCACAAACCTTCGACAAAAAAAAAAAAAAAAACAGCGAGAGAGACTTCAGGATAAGCAGGCAAGTCTTGACAATATCCCTCTGAGAACTATTGTACAATCCTTTCAGGAAGCAGAAAGAAAAATACCTGCGATTCCTCATCTCAGCGCACGCATGCACACACACTGTCCTGCTTTCCCCACTGCCTGCCCCCCTCCTGCTCCTCCCCCCCATACTGCTTTTCTTAAGCATTTTTCATTACTGTAAATTGCTCCAAATTTGCAGCCAAAAAGGAATGTGCTGGGAAAACCAGCTGTGGTTCAAAAAAATCATTTTAAAAATACATATATCATTGGCTGATGGCTAAAAAAAATGGTTAGATAAGATACGTTTTAAAATATTACAATAGTGATTTTTTTCCCAAAGAGAAAGAATGTGATTTTAAATGACAATTAAATTTTAGTAATGAGTTAATCGTTTCATAATTGAATTTAAGAAATAGAGGAGATTCCACCTACTCTACCACTAGGGACCAGCCATGTCTAATATATAATCTGTATCTTCCCTGATCTTTTGTAAAACAGGCCCCTGTTTGTCATTTGCCTAGGTTTGGATGTGAGAGGAGCCCCCGGATCACCTAGAATCTCTTAAAGGAAGGGGGCGTGCTATTGCCTCTACCAAAATGGCTCTGAATAATAGCGCCAGTTTGTCTTCATCCGGCATCTCTCATTAATTAGAGTGACAGTCCTGAGCCCCATGCTTTGCTCCGTAAGGGAACGATCCACAGTTATCATAAGAAATAAACAGTGGATGCATATATTCTCCCTAGCTCTTCTCGGGATTTCTCTTCTTTAACACGGCAAACAAAACTTAAAGCCGCGTGCAACGAGGGAGTCTTATTTTAGACCGCCGAGTGCCTGCTGGGGGGATACATCCGTCTTGAAATGTTTGTTCTTACAAATTACTAATATTTACAAGGAAACGAGAGTACTGTTTCCACAACCAGCTCGAAATGTTCGGAAGGAACGACGACTGAGGAAAACATCTGCTATTGTTTCTCAGAGTGAGGCCGTGTTCGGTGTGACGTTACCGGCAGCGACGCTCCGTTCTCGGGATTACGTCACTGCGGTGACGTCCTGGCTGGCGTATAAAGAGACATGCGCCGAATCGACCTCGCGCTTTTAATCTGGCACTGATAGGGGAATGTCACCGCTGAGGCAACGCGTCTATGTTCTGCCCCAGACACCTTGTTAGTACTCAGAGTTTGTAAACATTGGCAATGAAATAACAGCCAGTTAAAAGAGGGTAAACAGGTGGGGGAGTGAATGCAGCTGACGTCGGATCAGGATGATTGAGGGAGAACGTTACCATTTTGGATGTATGGTGTTTTTACGCCAAAAGAAAAAAAAGATTTCTTTCTTCCATTTGCAACACTATGATACGAATTGACAGTGGAGTGGGGGGTGTTATATTTAAGCTTTCAGTAGAATGGGCCGGTTCTACTGAATCGGGACTGGTTGTGTGTGTTTTTTTAATAATAAAATAGAAACGCACACAAAACAGCACTAAAAGCTAAACGAAAGAACTGCATCATGGAATACTGGCTGTTAATATGCATTATGTATTTGTATACCATTTCCGTTATTAACTGTAGGTTCAGGTGCCATGTTCCTTACATATATCCCCCACTTAAATCATTCAAATGCTTTTTTAAAAAAAATTATTGTGGTTATATGGTTAAAAATAAGTTGTACACTTGTACGCAATAACATAGCATAGCTTGAGAAGAATCACAATTTTTAGAAGTGTAATAATCCAAAGGCAGACTGTAGATATATTCCATCATTACAACGTTTCAATTAGTAATCCTATGTGACATTTTGTGTTTCATTTGAGTGCAAATGTCACATCCATAATTATGGACCTTTCTATCGACACATTTGGTGGAAGGAGGCATTCATCACAGACATATAGGCCAAGCTGAAATCAAAAACCAGGGATTTCACACACCATCTGGGCATCAAACATGCCCCGCGCGTCTCTTAATGAAAATACAAGGTGCGTCATCTGATATTTAATAATAAAAAAAAAAGCTTAGAAAAGCAGCAGACCATTAATCTGTAAACTCAAACCAGATATGGCCTAAGGAATTCATCTGGCCTTTTCCACTCCGCTCAGGCACCGACTGAGCAGCACGCGAGAGTCAAGCGTCTTGGGGTTGGTTCTGCTGAGCGAGGAGGCCCTCGGCTCCGGGTTCGGGAAACATCACAGAGGGACTTTCAAAGCCGCGGAAATCTTCGTGATTAAAAGGGCCTTGAAATTTCACCAGACACCACGTGGAGGTCAAAGCGGCAGCCGACACAGCTGTTGCCGCTTTCATGCAATGACAACCACGCTAATTCCCCCCCCCCCCCAAAAAAAAAAAAACTCCCTGTTCTGACCAAACAGGCCTAAATAACACTTCACAGTTTGCCTGGTTTGGTGTCCTCCCGATTTTTAATCTTCCCAAATATCTG